AACTAGTGAGTTCGAGATGTGAATGGTAATGGTAAACTGTTTATTTACACAATAACAACTAGTGAGTTACGTAGATGCGAATGGTAATAGGGACAACTGTTTATTTTCACAATAACAACTAGTGAGTTCGAGATGCGAATGGTAATAGGGACTAACTGTTTGTTTTCACAATAACAACTAGTGAGTTCGAGATGTGAATGGTAATAGGGAAAACTGTTTCTGTTCACAATAATAACTAGTGAGTTCGACATGAGAATGGTAATAGGGAAACCAGCTCGTGCTTGTTCCATTGGGAAAAAAGGAAGAAACTCCAACAAAGAGGATTGAAATGCACACGATCTATCGTCAATGCTAGAGTCCAGTCGGTAGGTGACGAACGCCCATATCTGTGAATCGTGTATGTATTCACTTTCCGTGGCACGTTTGTATATGATTCTATTACATTCAGGCAGCGTTCTGAGGCGGAAAAGTGGCATATGGTTCTGGAACCAATTAGTTACATCAGCCAGGATAACGAGTTGCTAGCCGCGTGGGTTCGTTGATTCTTTTAAGTGAACAACAGGCTTTTCTGATGACTACGGTGTATAGTTTACTCTCCACCGGCCGCTGATAGTTTCTGTGTGTGTGGCTCGATGCCGGAAGGCCCTACCTTCAAGCGAGTTAATCAGTACGAGGAGATTAAATGAAAACTGATTCCATTGACCTTTCGCCAGTCAGTTTGTGAAAATGAAAAGACTAAGAGTGAGAGAATGAGAGACAGTATCCGATGGATCGGACAGACTGAAAGTGTTCGCGGATAGTTACGAAAATCTAAAAGAAATACACATATCTCAGCCGATGTAGCGTTGGATTACAAAAATGGAGAACCAGAGACTTACAGTTAATTAACAGTGCTTTATTGCAGTGAGTATCAAATGACCACCTAACGACGAGTAAACGTGTACAGATCATATAACAAACTTAGTTTTATGTCATTGTTTAGTACGGCAGAAAGTAGGCCTGCACAGCGCTTTAAATTACCGTACACCACAGACATGTTATCTTCTAGATGCCGTATAAAACATTAGTCTATTTTTAATTAAGGCTTCAAGATATTTTCACAGATAACCAGTAACGAAAATTTCTGGATCGAAAAGGAAATACGAATTCCTGGTTTGATACACAGCGGTTGTTCTTTTATTTTTAGAGTTAAAACATCACAGCATTTTCATTTAACTATATTCAATTTATTATGTCAGTTACGTCATGTAGAATTATTGGCAATCCTTTAAATAAAACAGTACCGTGATCATAAAATTTGAATTTCAAATAATACTTTGTATGATATAGGATCTCACGTAGTTCTCGAATATTAAGGTTTATAAAATGCTACGTATAGAGTTTACCTATAACTCTATCAACTGTACATTTATAAACACTATACCAAAGAGATCTGTCATGATACATTTCGTCTTCAGTAGTTTTTGACTTAAACAAAATCAGTTCCATGTTAGTTAGTTAGTTAGTTTGAATTTCGCGCAAAGCTACACGAGGGCTATCTGCGCTAACCGTCCCTAATTTAGCAGTGTAAGACTAGAGGGAAAGCAGCTAGTCATCACCACCCATCGCCAACTCTTGGGCTACTCTTTTACCAACGAATAGTGGGATTGACCGTCACATTATAACGCCCCCACGGCTGAAAGGGCGAGCATGTTTGGTGGGACGGGGATTCGAACCCGCAACCCGCAGATTGCGAGTCAAGCACCCTAACCAACTGGCCATGACGGGGTCTTCTATGTTAGTACTTGTCATCAATTATAGTAGAAGATTTAAAGGCACAGTTGACCTAATGTTTAATGCATTATCACTAATTACAAAGAACTATAAAACTGATTTACTAAATTTCCCGTATATTGGGATTCGACCGTCATTCTTATAACGCACCTGTGGCTTCAAAGTGTGGGACGCATTTTTACAGCAACGATCCGCGAATCATGAAGACGCTAATTACTAGTCCACGCCAATCCAGGATAGATAAATAACTCGAATTTCTCTTACGGAAACAATTATACACATGTGAAATAAATGTACATAAAAATAGAATATTAGAAATTTTCTTATTAATCCAAAGTAAGCGAGAAATGTTGTCACACAGTCTACTTTAAAATTATTTCATGACACAAACTGACGGTCGCAATAGATTCAATATTTATGGTAATAGATAAAAGGCGTAAGTGCCGTAATAGCCCTGAAATGATACAGAAAAATGAAAATGACGATCTGATTACTAGAAAAATCAATAGAAAACAAAATTTTAGTAGAGTTAAGTTATTACACTAAGCATAGTCAGATCACAGGGCACATGAAATATATTTAGGTAGAAATGGTTACAACCTTGTCCACTTACAAATAGAAATACATTGAACTCATGATCTATACAAACAGTTATATGAGTCAGTAGAGAATAGAGCATGTCTGAACGTAATGCAATTTTGATAACTATAACGAGTGCCTTTTTTATGTATTTTGTAAGTATTAACGTTCTATATTTTTCTTTAAAGTTACTTTTATTAATATTATTTGATATAATATTTCAAATTAATTTGATTATTATTAGGAGTACTGAGTTTTATTCTTATGAAGGTTATTTCACACTATTAGCTTAGTACATGGAATTAAGACTAACCTAAGCTGGTCGAATCTCGTAAGGTATTATTGGGATTACGGCCGAAAATGTTCTTAACTGCAAAAGTAGCGACTAGTTAACTAATGATTCAATACATTCTAATTCAACTTGGGGCATGATGATGGATAAAACAAAATACGCGGTCTAGCTAACTAATAAATGAATATTTGCTGTAAGATTCTTATCAATGCTATAAGACGCACACTCAAT